CCGGAAATTTCTTAAATGTGTCTCCTGACATCGCTCAGAAGTCCTACTGGAAGCGGATTTCGAAACTTTCGAAATCACTTACAGACGTCTTATCAGAATTATTCGGAGTTGTGACCGAAATACGAACTTTTAGGACTACGGGATAGGCCACGGGAAGATCCGGAACATCTGTTTAAAACATGCTAGAGTCAATAAATATTTTTTTAAATCCACGGAAATTGTTTCAATCGTTTGTTTTTATCACCAGGGGTGGAGCAACATTTCTCTACCCGAGAGTGCTTAGTGAAAATTTAAATACTAAAATTCCTCAATGGCAAGGACTTCTTTAGTCAGTTAAGAAGACTTGCGGAGAAAAAAAATCTACGCAAATCCAGAGAATTTCCTAAACAAGTTGAAGTCGATTCGACTGCACACGTTTAGAGGAATTCCTTGACAGAGACATGACCCGAACAATTTTAGTTGTAGACTAGCTTAGACTGTTAAAAATTAGCTGCATAAGCCAATTGTTGATTGTGTAAGCTAATCTGCAGCAACATTTTTTTTTTGTTGGGATGGGACTTCCTTAAAAGTCAAATCGACTTCCTGAGCAAGTCTAACAACCATTCTGATCAGTACTGTCATGGTAAATTTAGAGCTTGTTACTCACTGTTTTTTTTAATGTGCGTGCTCCACCCATCTCAAATCCATAATTGTGATATACAAATGTATAACTGCATGTGCACGCAATTCAACAGATTTCAGTATTCAGGATATCTTGAATGGTGACTGTTATTTGCTACAGTCAGATATTAAAAGCAAAACAAAGGCCATAGAGTTCTTGCAATTTTCCAGATGGTCATAAAATAGCCCTGAAGATCCTGGAATTTTCCTGGAGTTCTCAGAACAGTTCGGAAGATCACGTAATTTTTTCTTAAAATCTCTAAATTTACAAGAAGTTCTCTGGACTAACTTAAAATTTTCATGGACTTTCCTGAAGTTCAATGTTTATTGCTGAAATCATCAGAACTTCTCAAATTTGCCACAATTTTCCTGGAGGTAGAACTGACATGCAGTGCTTTCAAAGTTTTCTAAACAATCCTGACACGAAACTTCTCTAAACATCTTTATACTCCTCGGAAATTAACTGGACTTCCCTAAAGTTTCCTCAATTTTTCAAACGATGATGGATCTTCTCTGAAGTTACTGAAATTTTACTGGAGTTCTAAGAAGACCCAGAAATTAACAGAACTGCCTTAACTTCCCTAAAAATCTCTGAGCTTCTGTGAGGTTCTCCAATATTTTTCGAAACTTTTCTAAATGTGTCTGCAAATCTTTGGTTTTCTGAAAAAAATGTGGAACCTCAAAATTGTTCGCCACTGATTTTAATGCAACTGCAAGTTCTCTCTCTTCTGTGAAATTTTCGTGAAATCTTAACTTGTCTGAAGACTTTTGGACTTTTTGATGTTCCTGATGTTATTGGAACTGCCCTAATTTCCTGAGCAGACCCAGATGACTTCTAAAGAAAATCCATAAATCTTCCTAGAATCAGTAACATCAGAGCACTTCCTGTGCAAGTTCCAAGGACTTCCTAAGCAAGTCGAGAGAATTTCATGGAATTCGGACAAAGTCTGGTGGATTTTCTGGAGAATTTAACATTTGAAAAAGTCCAGAGAAATCACTTGGTAAGCCCAGAAGACTTCTTATGGATTTCCATATAAATCAAAAGGGCTGTCTAAGCAGATTGAGAGGTCTTGTAGAACAAGGTTGTTGTGTTTAGTCCAGAAGACTTGTGGAGATTATATTCAGCCCTTCCTGAACTGGATCAGATGATTTCCATGGCAAATCTGAACTGCGTTGAACTTTCTAGACTATTCTGAATGTCCCAAAAAAAAAAATAAAATAAACAAAAATTCCCGTAATTATTGTTGATACTCCAGAAATTTTCCTGAAATTTTTCTGAAGTTTTAAAAACTTCTTTGAAGCTCACGGAACTTCCTTCAAAATTTCTTATTCCTCCTGAACCTGAAGACTCTACGATAGTCTTGAAGTTTTCGGAACATTCCTGAAATTTTTGGAAAATACCAAATTTCTTCGGAACTCCTTGAATGTTTCCTGAAGTGAATGTGACTGCTCTGAAGTTCTCTGTTTATCCTCCAAGCACTCAAAATATCCCTGAATATAAAGAAACTATCTAAAAATCTCTTCTATGAAGTTCTCTGGACTTCGTTGCAGATTTCTTAAGTTCATCTATATAACGAATTTTATAGATAAGACCAAGGAATCTCGTGGGTTCAGGGACACCCTGGGCATGACACGATTACTTCTTAAGAAGCCTTTCTTGGGAAATCGGGCTTCATGACTAAGTGCACAGTATTTTATGAGTAGATCCAGATGACTTCCTCAGAATATCCTGAAATCTTCCAGGAAGCAGTTGGATCAGAGCACTTCCTGAGCAAGTTCCAAAGACTTTCCGAAGCAAGTCGAGATAATTTAAACAATTTCAGAAGACTTGTCGCAATGGAGAATGTCGAGAGGATTTGGACAAGTCCGGAGAATTTTCTAGACAAGTTCAAACAAACTTTTGGAAACGTCAAGAGAACTCCCTTGGTAAGTCCAAAAAACTTCTTGGGGATTTCCATGGAAATCAGAAGGACTTCCTAATCAGGTTGGGAGGTCTTCTTGAGAAATCTAGTTAAGGTTAGTTTAGAAGACTTGTAGAGAATATCTACAGCACTTCCTGAGCAGGTTCAGGTGATTTCCTTGGCAAATCCAGAGTTCTTCCAGGAGTATGTCAAGCCAGAACTCATTCCGAGAGGACTCCTTGGATGACATTTTGACCAGAGGACATTCTGAACGAGTCCCAAGGACATCATGAGAAACTCTAATAAACAATGACCATAAATGAACGATAACCCAAATGGTAGAACTATTCCACAATTGGTTTGAATGATATTTCAAACACGTTGTTATGTAAAATAACCATACATATTTTATTAGGAAAGCCGATAGAACTTCGTGAGAAATTACTGAGGGCTTCCTAAGTATCTGTAAAAAGGCACTGCCTCAAGTTGCCATAATAATCAGTAGGACCAGAAAACTTCCTGGGCAAGTCTAGATAAATTTTTGGACAAATTCATAGAATCTCGTGGATGCGATCAGAGGACTTGAGAATGTCAAAAGGACTCTCTGAATAAGTCCAGAAGACTATTACAAGACTATTACAAGCTCCAATGAATTTCTCGGGAAATCAAACTTCTTGAGTAAGTTCCTGAGTAGATCCAGATGAGTTCCTCAGAATATCCACAAATCTTCAAGGAATTAGTAAGATCAGAGCACTTCCTGAGCAAGTTTCAAAGACTTCTACGTAAGTTGAGAGAATTACATGGAATGGATCATAAGAGTTTCATAGAATGTCCACATGAATATCTGGACAATTCCGGAGGATTTTCTGGACAAGTTCGAATAAACTTTTGAAAACGTCCAAAGAACCCCCTTGGTAAGCCAAGAAGACTTCTTAAGGAGTTCAACTGTCTGAGAATATCAAGAGGACTTTTTAACAAGTCCGGAAGATTTTCTGGACAAGTTCAAACAAACTTTTGGAAAGCCCAGAAAACTTCGTAGGGATTTTCTTGGAAATCAAAACGACTGCCTAAGCAAGATGAGAGGTCTCAACAAGTCCAGAAGACTTGTTGAGAATATCTACAGCACTTCCTGGGCAGTTTCAGATGATTTCTTTGGCAAATCCAGAGTTCTTGCAGGAGTATGTCAAGAATTTATTCCGAGAGGACTCCATGGGTAAGTCCAAAAGACTTCCTGGGTAAATGCAGAGGATTTTCTGGTCAATGTTATTCAATATAAGATTTTCATACAAAATGGACTAACTTTGTAACTTTGTTGTATTATGATAATTATTGAGCTGAAACCTTAGTAACAGAACTACAAATAAGTTCAATTTTGCGATTACAAAATAGCCAATTTTTTGGAAGCACCTGCCGGAAAGTGAGCTACCAAGTCGTCTGAATTACTGCGTTCCTCTAGGGTAGCTCCCACCCCTATCACTAGTAAGTCACGAGTCGTATATTGAGAAACACTAGTCTTCCTCCAAGCATTGCCACGTATTATATAGACTTTTAATTGATTTTAAATAGTAGTTAATCAATAATGCTAGAGGTGTTTCCTGTGTTATTATACACAGTATGAACTAGACCAAACGCCACTCCCAAAGGATTGTATCAAACTGTAGCACGACAAGGTTGGTGACGTTCGAAGGATTTTGAGATGTTAAATTATTGCTTCGATCAATTATATCATGTTCGGGATAAGCTGTTTATTGTCATTTAATGGACGTGGATATCACGGTAAACGCTAAATATTGCTCACAGCTGAAAGCAGTAGTTAGTCCCCGGAGGCACCCAGAGTCGGTGATTGATTATGGCAATTTCATCGATCAACCCTGTAATCACAGCCGCTCAATATTCGCGTTAGAATATTTAAACTGTCCGCATCAACTCAAGCCCAAAGTGGCTTGTTCGGTCGGACAGCTGAGCGTCAAGCTGTCAGTAGCACCCTCAACAAAGCTTGCTTCTAGTGTTCAGAGTAATAGAGAGCGTACAGAGCGAATGGGCAAAATGGCACCGGATTTGCAAAACCCGAAGGAGCAATTACGCCTGATTGGGCAGCTCCGCACAGTGTGACTGCGTCCGGAGTAATGAATTATTGATGTCAATAAAGTTCATATCGACTGATCGTTCTACAGACGTTAAGCTTTAGGTATGCACTTGTTTTGATCACACGGGCCGGCGACGGTGGCGCTTGAAACAGTGATTAAGTTCTGTGCTGAAAAGCAAATTATTTTCCATTAAGAAGTTGTGCTTCGTTCCGGCCTTCCACCGCGCATTTTCATGACGACGAACTCAATCAATGGTCACAATTGGATCCCCGTTCACGATGATAAATGGACCATTGACGTGGAACAACGGGGACATTCCGATCCGGTTGGTGGTCATAGTTAGTATGCTTACCCAATGGAAGGTTGCAAAATTTCTTAGAAACAGCTGCTGCTACTGCACATACAATGTAGGACTCGACGAACGTTCCGCGGTCGATTGGCTTCGGCGTCACGCGGTCCTTGATCGCAAGTCTTAACTTTTGTGCGGTATGAGACCAATTTGTGTTTGCCGGAGAGAGTGGAACTAATCAACCGACGACGACGATGACGACGACAACGACGTTTCGCGAATGAATACAATTACCGAGCGTTGTTTTGCACAAATCGACCAGAGTTTTGTTTGCTCACTTGCAGTGGTGTCTTGCTTGATCTTCCTAGGTCGGAAGCACTATTTGAACTTCTCACACACTATGTTAGTCCGTTCAATCTGGGTTTCCAAAACAATTCCGCGCCGTGCTTGCGTGCACCTCTAGTCGCGATCGCGTCCGGCACTTGAATGAAGCAAATTTCTCCAAGTGAGCGTCAATGAAGATTCTCGTGTGCGATTGTGATGCCTCTGGGAATTGTTTGCCGCGCGCGGTGACGTTCCGCGCAGTTCAAGATCTCCGCGTGTAGAACAACACCGACTGCCTCACGGCTCGAATCGGGAAGTAGGCACCGGTGAGTGCTGATTTGAAACAAGTGCAGTGCTCGGCAGGGTGGCGTGACGAGCTTTTGGGGGTGGTGGGGGATAAATTTCTTATGCAATTTCACCAGCAGACGACTGGACCGGACTGAGTCACGTTGATTCTGCGATTTTCTTACACGCAAAGAACATCGCGTAATGCGGCGAGATAAACAACTGGGAATGTGTTTACGGTCTCCGAGTCAGGTTGGCAAAATATTCCGAGCCATAAAAAAGCATCAGCGTAAAAACGATTAATTACGGTACATGAATGAGCTATCGGGATGACTGGGCTTTGATTGGGTTGCGGTAGGAGGTTTTTCCCCCTCGATTTTCCCCGGAACAGGTCGTCAAATTAAACGATAAAATCAATAAAGCAGTAAGTCGTGTCATGATCTGAACTCTCGGATGAAGTAATTGTTGTTATGCTCTAGTCAGTACAGTGTCTGGATCATTCGGAGATGTTGTGTTATCTGCGATCATCTGTGTGAGATTTATTAGGTTTCAATCGATAACGAATCTTCGTTCTTGTAGTGATGTTTTTGCGAGTTTCCTATAGGACTCGGATCTTGTGAGAAGAGTGAGTCAGAAATTCTATCTGATATCAGAGGAGATTTTGCGAAAATTTCGTTGTTTTTTTTTTAATTCGCTAGTGTTATTTATTACCAAATTATAGTAATTTGAGCACTCTTGGGTCGTTCGTGACTTATCCGGGGCTAAGATTTAACTCGTAACTTGAGCGTGGGACAAAATTCCATAGGCTACAATTGAAATACGCCATAGGAACGTATATCCATAACTGGCACATCATCCCTATCTTATTCGGGGTTGTTGCGACAAATTCACGCCAAATCCGCGCCAAAGTTCGGATTTGCACAAATATAGAGAGTCCGACTGTCACACTGCATTGTGTGAATGAAAAATAGCTTATTCTAGTTTAACTGGCTTTTAGCTACTAGTCTCTTAACAACCTTAAATTAGCCTGAACTTTTCAGAGGTTCTTCAAATTTCACAAAAAATCCACTGATTTCGCTGAGGTTCCCTACATTTAATAAACTTTTCTGAAGAAGCCTAAAATACTCTGTAGTTCATTTGGCCTCCTCTGAGCTTACCCTTTGCATCCCTGAAGTTCCCTTAAACGTCTCTGATAATGCTCCCTGAATTTTTCTCAATATCACTGAAATAATCTGATCTTCTCTGTTTCAAAAATTTGTTTAACTTTTCTTGAGATTACTATTTTTGAACTTCAAAGCAAACTTCTGAGAGGATCAGGGAGCTAATGAAAATATGTGAAGCTTGAAGAGCTGCAGAGCGGTTCGACGAACTACGGACAGCAAACAGCGAACTTCGAAGATTTTTAAAGTGCTTAAGAGATGATCTGCAAACTTCAGACTTGAGAGAGGTCCAGAAAGCTACAAAGATGTCCAACGAGCTCCGGGGGCGGAACATGCATCTTAAAGGGCATTCAGAAAACTGATAATGTAATTAAAGCTCTGAGAAGTTTTAGAGCTTCCAGAATTTTGCAGGTTTCAAATACTCAAACACCTACTGACAACTGCAGAAACGGGAAATTTCCTCAAACACTGTGATGTTATAAAATGATCTCAGCTGTTTGCGTAGGCAGTCCTTTAGCTCAGTCGGTAATGACGCAGCTACAAAGCAAGACCATGCTGGAGCTGGCTGGGTTCGAGTCCCGGTCCGGTCTAGCAATTTTTCGGGTTGAAAAATTTCTCGTCTTCTCTGGGCATAGAGTATGATTGTACTTGCCACACAATTATACTAATGCAAAAAATGGTACAGGCATCAAAAGCTGCCAATTAATAACTGTGGAAGTGCAGAACACTAAGTTTAGATCACGCAATAAGCTAATATGCGTTAAGCAATAAGCTTGAAATGCGAGGAGGAAGAAGAAGAAGGAGTCATCAAATAATTTTAATTGTAATTTAGTTGAATTCAGACTAAGTAGATCTAATCCACGCCTAAATCGCGCCAGACCAAATCTGAAATTCAAATCACACTTCTAATCCACGAAAATCGCAAAATCCATCGTAGTCGTAGCAACTCTGTTTATAGATTTCCAGTTCGTCACTTAGAGGACCAGCAGGTAGTTGCCCTAGAATTGTCCTGCGGTCAAAGTATAGGTAGGAGGTTATACTTATTTTGGCACAGAAACTGAAACTTTATCAGCATTGTATGTTCTGTGAAATTGTTGCTTACTGTGAGACCTTTATTTTGATGAGAGTTGCCCAGTAACACCTGGTAGATTACCTTTTCGTGGTGCGTTACTGGCATTTAGATCTACCACCGAAGCATAGTCCAAACTACTACCAGCCCCTGATCTTCAAGAAGTTGAGGAGGAGATCGGTCGGCTGATTTGCAAGAGAGTTCGTGGGGCATTACCAGGCGGGATTCATGGGTGCCCGCGCTACCACGGACCAAATTTTCGCGATTCGGCAGGTTCTGCAGAAATGCCGTGAATACAACGTGCCCACACATCATTTGTTCATCGATTTCAAATCCGCATACGACACAATCGACCGAGATCAGCTATCGCAGATTATGCATGACTACGGATCTCCGGATAAACTGACACGATTGGTCTGGGCGACGATGGATCGAGTTATGTGCGTGGTTCGAGTATCGGGAACACTCTCAAGTCCCTTTGTGATGGACTTTGGTATCTGCTATTGTGTGGTAGTATAGGTGTGATCAGAAGAGCTGGGGTAGAGACGAGTGGCACGATCTTCAGGAAGTCCGTCCAGCTTCATGGCTTCGCCGATAACATCGACATCATGACACGGAACTTTGAGGCGGATTGGACTTGCCATCAACGCATCGAATACGGAATACATGAGAGTAAGGGGTTCTAGGGAAGACAATTGTAGCCTCCCATCCTGAGTTCAGATTAACGGTGACGAAATCGAGGTGGTCGACGAGTTCGTGTTTTTGAGCTCACTGGTGACCGCCGAAAATGATACCAGCAGAGAAATTCAAACACGCATTAAGGCAGGGAATTGGAGGACGCTCCGGTCGAAAAAAAAAAATCGCCGCCGCACGAAGTCTACAAGACGCTGATTAGACCGGTGATCCTCTATGGCCACGAGACCTTGACTATGCTCGTGGAAGACCAACGCGCCTTTGGTGTTTTCGAACGGAAAGTGTTGTACAGAGTGGAGTACAGCCACATTGCAAAAATTGGGCGATTACGGTGAGCTGGGCACGTCGTATGCTGGACGACGACCCAGTGAAAATGGTTCTCGAAAGCGACCCAAAAGGAACAAGAAGAAAAGGCACGCAGCGGGCAAGGTGCATCGACCAAGTAGAAGGCGACCTGTGGACCCTTCGCAGACTACGAGGCTGGCGACGTGAGGCCATGGATCGTGTAGAGTGGAGACAGCAGAGGATAACAAGGCCTTAGCCTGATTGGTAAGGTAAGTAAGTAGGGGAAACGGTCCTATTATTGCGGTCGTTAGAAGCGATATGAGCCTATACATTGGACGCATTCCCCTAGTCGTAGAGAATTTGCTGCAACATTTAGACATTTGTTGTCTTTTGTGAAGTTTTGGTGTTTGAGAAGTTCAATCTTTTGTTATTGATTTTGAAAAACTTACTTTTTTCCTGATGAATGTGGTCGTCTTAGTGGAATACCTGTAAAGAGAGAAAGAGAGAGAAGTTGTAATTTATATTTCATTTCACTTATTTGCTTATGCTTGACAGATACGCGAATTTCGTCTACAATGTGCAGACTTCTTCAGTATCTTGTACTAAAAAACGACAGAGATGGCGCTGTTCCACTGGTAGGAAGTAATGAAAATCTCCATATATAAATTGACAGAAGTGGGAATAATTCGCTTTTGATGCATATTCAAGTCAAAAAAGTGCACGACAACCTAAAGAAATCACCGTTGCCGTTAAGTTTTCCCCGGATACTATTGTTAAACAAGCTACAATTAAATATAAATAGTATGTTCCCAAACATTTTTTACCCGCTTTACTACCAGTCCCAAGAGATCCAAAACATTCAAATCCAATAGAAAGCATTATCTCTCACGAGCTCGATCTCTCAACATGCTATGTATATTGATGCCACACAATATGTGATTTCCCTTTCACAGACTACAAAATATAATAACTTGCCCTGATTTTTTTGGAATCCTATTAGATTTCCCATCTAGGAGCGGTGCTTGGCAAGTATTTTTGTCGTAGAATAATAAAGAAAGGGAGGGACTCAGAATGCTAATCTAACCGCATATGTTGAGGTACCATACACGTTTTGACCGCACTGCCCTCTGTTAACAATTAACGGAACTAAGTGAAAGCGTAATATCCGATACACGTCACCATTAAGAACAGCAGTGACCTCTGAAGGGAAATTAATGCAGAAGCATGGTAACATGATTAATTCTGAAAAATTACTCTAAAATGATAACCTTGAGAGCCACCCTCATATTTACAACCTTCAAGAGAAGGTACTTTTTAAGCACAAAAACTTCACCAAAGACACCATACGCCTGAATATTAAACCTTGCTTTCTGAATCGTAATCAATGTTGCGTGCAAGTTCAATACACTGTATAGAATCGTCACAGGATGATTCTTTGTATGATCCTGAAATCCGTAAAACACTCAAATCATGGCTGCAAAATAACGAGCTTTTTCAAGAACTTCTTGAATAATACAAAATCGGTGTTCTATTAGAATGCACCCTCGATAACACTACTTGTCCCTCCGGAAGGTGCGGTACATCCGGAAAAGTATTGAAATTATGAAAATAACACTTAAGGCCCACGCAC